AAATGGCTGGAATTGGACCTGGTTGATCAAGCGTAAAAATATGCAGTACTAATAAGTTTCCTTTTAAAATATGAAAAAAACTTTTTTAGGAAAACAATTTAATGAGTATGAAATCAACAGGGAATTTTTACTTTACCAATTTAAATAATTTTATAGCTATACGGACCTTTTCTTGGAAGAAATATTTTGAAAGTAAATCCGAAATCTTCAAAGTAATTAATTTCTTGGCATTGTAATTCTTATATTCGTATCCCTAGCAGGATAAAATATGTCTGCCCAGATAGTTTTTTTATGACTGAAGGAATGGCTGGAATTGGACCTAGTTGATCATGCGTAAAAATATTCAAAATAAATACGCTTCCTCATGTATTTCATTTAAAAATATGAAATAAGCTACTTTAGAAAATCAATTCAATGAGTATGAAATCAACAGGGATCTTCTACCTTAACAATCTAAAATATTTCTTAGCTATATAGATTTTTTCTTGAAAGAAATATTTTGAAAGTAAATCCGAGATCATCAGAGTAATTAATTTCTTGGCATTATAATTCATATATTCCTATCTCAAACAGGATAAAATATGTCTGCCCAGATAGCTTTTTTATGACTGGTGGAATGGTACTTGAGCAGGCGAAATAAAGCAATTATCGTGGTTCGGTTGGGGATTCTTCTTCGTGCGTAAGTCAACTGAAAATCCACAGACAGTTAAACGACTTTCCCTTACCAATGGCACCCACTTCACGGATATATATATACCTTCATATTGCCGGAGATAATGTCAAATTTATTGCATTATTTTTCGCTCCTTTTGCTCGGCAGTTGTTGTGCATGCGTGGCCCCAACCACAGTGCCACAGGCAACCGAACCACCCACCAACCACCGCCTGTTATGGTCGCACCACCAAACCACCCACCACCCACCTCCCACTGTTGTGCATAAATCAAAAGGTAAATGGCTGCATTTTTATGACTGCGCCGCCATCGTCGTCGTTCATCGTCGTTCGCCTTTTGCGCTGCTTCGCTTTTATCACACAAACATTTCTGTGATAATAAATGCCATAAAAATGAAGAAATATGTGGTTAATTTTATGTGCTGCCTCCGCCTGAACCCCAACCCCCCAATTGTTGTGGCTTCCAGTATACTTCCTTTTTATATTCCTCATATAAATGTTTTCGCGGCTACAAATTTCTCCCACTACATCTGAATATCTCTGCGCGCTTTTCTTTACGACTTCTGTGTGGATATCTAGGGTATTCAAGTTTTGGAATCCTTAGCATAGACATGTAAAATAAAATATATTTAGATCCAAAAGATTTGGAAAAATCCTTAAAAACCAGCTAAGCAAAAAATTTGTACACAGAAAAAATTCTGACGAGTTGAAAATGTTCTTAAAAATAGACATGTAAAATAAAATATGTTTAGATCGAAAAGATTTTGAAAAATCCCTTAACATTGGCATATGAAATAAAATACATTTAGATCCTAAAGTTTTTGAAAAATACCTAAAACCAGCAAAGCAAAAATTTGTACACAGAGAAAATTCTGACGAGTTGAAAATGTTCTTAAAAATAGAACGACATTTTTGAAGTTGAAAATATATTTATTTTGCTCGAATCATGTTGAATTGGCGGTATTTACATTCTATATCTCCGCAAATAAACTATTAGTCGAGACAGTAGCAAATACTTTTAAAAAAGTACTTACACGGTTTTTAAGAACGAATGTTCTCAATTCAAGAACAATGTACTTGAATATTTTCGTCTGTGTAGATAAAAAACAATTGCAAATATTTGATTGACTATATTTCCTAGCCCTAACTCCTTTAAAGTCTACAAAAAATGTACCTTACGACCTAATTTTACAAATGATGTAATTGAACAAACTAAGAAGCTAAGTGTATTAATCCCTACAAGACTTCCTTTTGCATAAAATTAAGTTATCAAGGCGAAAATGCTCCAGGGTGAGCATTAGTCTAAAAGCAAATCGCATTAGTCACGGTATCAAGGTGTTCCGCACTTCCGCATCGCAATTTCTTTGGCTTCGTGTAATTTATAATATTTTTGTATTATTTATATGACACCCCCCAGCCACCGTTTCGAGTTTGCCTTCGGCCCACTCCCGCAATTTGCTAGTAAATAATTCACATACAGAAGCAGCGAATTTATGACGCTGACAAAGTGGCCATAAAAAAATAACAAATAATAAAGGAAAATACTGGGGGGAACGTGTGCGTATACTCTCTAACCCCACTGTACCACAAAATACAAATATTTTGGCAACATTTTTTTTGCTTTGTTGCTGCGTTCTGCACGCAAAACCGCAAATTATGTCTAAGCCGGATCGTAAAGTATCGCAGCACGCTCTTACCTAATAAATCCATCATTTTCGCTGAAGGTCGGTAGAGTTTCCTCTACCTGTTTTGGTCACCTCACAGGTATTTTGCTGCCTGGTTTCGGCTTAGGAATTCCCAACGAAAAATGTTTAAATACTCAAAATCAGGATTTAAATCGCCGCTTCTTGGTCTCAGCTTATCGCCCATATTTACACAGATTTTAATTTACTAGCCAGGGGCTTTGAAGGGGTCTTAACACTCATCTGGGGGATTAGGTAATATTTTCTAAGCACAGATTTTCATAGAATCCTCTTTAGGCATGTTGTAAAGATGTTTACTGGGTTGTAATACTTGGTTTTGGTAAACCAAAGGATTTTGTAAGGATTGTCAAGGTATATTTAATATCGATTAGGTTGCGAGATCAAAGGGGATCTTCTTGATCTAGATTTAGTACAAATGATCGCAACTGATTAGCTAAGTAACACATTTTTAGATATAAAACATATTTTCAGAGGGAAATAAAGCACAATTTTTCCGTACAACTTTTTGTATAATACTTTGTATAGTCTAGTATCCCAAATTACCCGTATTTAACGATACGAACGCATCTGGCCTTATAACTAAAAATACCAAACTACCAATTACTATTATGTTGCAATAAGCCAGGCGCAAAGTAATTGCCTTATAAAAGGTATATTTAATAACGAATAGATTGCGAGATCAGAAGGGACCTTCTTGAACCAGATATAGTAAAAATGATCTCAACTGATTAGCTAAATATCTCATTTTTGGAAAAAACATGTTTCCAAAGGAAAATAATGTATTATTTTTCCTTCAACTTTTTATACCCGTTACTCGTAGAGTAAAAGGGTATACTAGATTCGTCGGAAAGTATGTAACAGGCAGAAGGAAGCGTTTCCGACCCCATAAAGTATATATATTCTTGATCAGGATCACTAGCCGAGTCGATCTAGCCATGTCCGTCTGTCCGTCTGTCCGTCTGTCCGTCTGACCGTCTGTCCGTCTGTCCGTCTGTCCGTCTGTCCGGATGAACGCTGAGATCTCGGAAACTATGGGAGCTAGGCTATTGAGATTTGGCGTGCAGATTCCTGAGCTTCCTACGCAGCGCAAGTTTGTTTCAGTAGACTGCCACGCCCACTCTAACGCCCACAAACCGCCCAAAACTGTGGCTCCTACAGTTTTCATGCTAGATAGAAAATTTTAACTGAAATGTAAGGTTCTCATCAATACCTATCGATTGACCCAAAAAAAAATTTGCCACGCCCACTCTAACGCCCATAACGCTTAAATCTGTATACCGCCGGTAGGTGGCGCATTTTAATCTCGCTTTGCTGCTTGCATATCTCCATTTAGCTGAGTAACGGGTATCTGATAGTCGAGGTACTCGACTATAGCGTTCTCCCTTGTTTGTATTCATTTGTATAGTCTAGTTAAATAATTATCTCAGATTATACGTATTTAACGATAGGACGCATCTGGCTTAATAATTAAAAATGTTATGGAAATTATTATGTTGGAATAAGCCAGGCGCGAAAAATAAAACAACCAACCCGCTTAGTAAATTATAATGTTCGTGCGAAATTCAAATAAATAAATGAGGCAAGTGCTAACTGGAAAATTCAATCCAATTGTAGAGCGATTAAGAATGCAGCGAAGTTAACCAAACCATTAAACTATTACCAACTTTCGGAGTGCAACACACCACAACACACATTCGCTTGTTTGATGTGTGCAGATTAATTACACACACACTCACCGTGGAAAGAGGAAAAATTGCTTGGAAAAACTTTTCGACGCGACAAGAAAACAACGATTTCCACTTAAACAGCAAACGGGAGCCACAAAAAAAAAAGTAGAGGGAAAACCAACCGCAGAAGTTAATCGAAAAACGCTGAACAAAGGCCACAACAACAGCTTTGTGTGTGTGTGTGTGTGAGGGGGAGAGAGGGGGAGTGGAAAAGCGGGAGAGCGACAAACAAATTAATTTTTATATGACATTAAAACGAGCGAAGCGAGGCGATGGAAATGGTTGAAGAGTGTGTTTAAGTGTTGAGTGGTTTGCTTTTCCGAGCAACAAATCTCGGTGCGAAGACAATGAGGCCTCGGTCGCGTCGCTGCCGCAGCGCTGCTGCTGTTGACAGCCCCATCAAGAAAAAGTTCCCCCCAGAGAGCCAAGAGAGTGAGCGTGACATATGTGCCAAGATAAAATTAATGTGCCCCCCCAAAGCAACAACAACAACAAGAACTAAACCGCTGAGCGGCGCTCTCAGCGCTCAACTGTTGCTCTCCAAACGAGTGTTGCCGTGTTGCAGGCCAAAGACTATAAGTGCCATATGATTGCATAGCCGTCACGCATCTTGGTGAGAGCCACAGAGAGAGCGCGAGAGCGAGAGCGGAAAACCTGTCTTGGCTTCCATTGCAAAGCGCATGCGATTGTGATTGGACAAAAAGTACGCCATATTTGAAAATTATACGCATTGCATCCCGCTCGCACTCAGCAGGCGCTGCTCCTCTAACGCATGCGGCAAGCGAGAGTGTGCAGCGCTGCTCGCCGAGGGAGAGAGAGCGAGCGGAGAGAGTGCTCTCCCAAGCGAGCGCTTCACTTCGCAGGCAGTTACACTCGCCGCCGCATTCGTTGGATTCAATTCGAATTTTGACTTCGCAGCGTTCAGACGTGTTCGGAAAAACCTGAAAGCCATTCGAGTGACAAAAGATAAACCCAAACTGAAAATACAACATACCCCCAGTCAACTGTGGTCACCGATCGAGAGTGTTTCGTTTCGAAAAATCGTGGTGAAAAGTGAAATCAGAGCCAAAACACCAAACGCTTGGCCAGCAATAAAAAGTGCTATCCAGAACCAGAGATAAATTCTCTGCTCGAAACTACAAGTGTTGAATCGCCGATTTTTCTTTGGATTAACCTACGTTTGCCGACGCATTTCTGTGGATTAACCTCATCGACGCCGAAGCAAAGCTACACATTTGTAGCCTTGTCTCGCAACCTTAGTGGATTACATTTCAAAAAACACACTAAGCAACTAAAATGGTTGTCTTGGAAGGAGGCGGCGGCGTTGTTACCATCGGTAACAACCAGTACCTTCAACCGGATTATCTGGCCCCATTGCCCACAACGGTTAGTATTGACAAAAAAAAAGATTGAAAAAAAGAAGAGTCTAGAATAAGTACATTTTTCAATATAAAAAGAAAAAATAATAGTTTAGAAACAAGTTTTTAAAGTATTAAAAAAAAAAGATTTTTGAGAATTGGAATTCCTAAAATATGAAGGTAAAATAGTTCTTAAAATCGAATCAAAATATCAAATTGATATTTGTTGAGAAAAAAAAAATTTATTATTATTATTTTATCTTTCATATTTTTAGATTTTTTAGTCCAAAATTTGAAAATATACAATTCTTTTTTTATATTTTCTAAACGCTCAAGAATAAAAAAATTCTAAAAAAATTATCAAGAGCAACTTATCTCGAAAAAAAATGTATTGCAAAAAGTATTTAAATAAAAAAAAGTTTAAAAGTTCAAAAAAACTATCAAGCAGAAAAATGCAGTGAAAACAAAAAACTAAAGAACAACTTCCAACCTTTTTTTCATTCACCACAGATGGACGCCAAAAAGAGTCCCCTGGCTCTGCTCGCACAGACCTGCTCCCAGATTGGAGCAGACTCATCGGCGGTGAAGCCACTGCTGGCGATGGACAAGAACAAGACAAAGCCCGGGGCCTGCTCCTCGTCGTCGAACTCGTCGAGTTCCTCGAGCAGTGCCGAGATCTCGGCTGCCAAATCGCCCTCCGGCCAGGCCAAATCGCCCAAGTCCAGCACACCCATTAGCTCCACGGCCACCAGCACGAGTCTGGGCAATACCAGCACAGGCGAAATCAAACTGGCCTTCAAGCCCTACGAGACGAATGTGCTGAGCCATCAGAATCAGAACTCCTTCAAGAGCAGCTCCTCCCTGGAGGCCGAGCCCACGCGTCCCAGCTCCAAGAACTCCTCCTCCGCCCAGGAGCGAGTACCATCGCGCAGCAAGTCCAATGCCACGCCCACAGATGGCAACAAGACGGAGATATCGGTGCATGATTCTTCGTCCAGCCGGAAGACAGTGTCCCCGTCGGGATCCTCGCAGCGCGGCGCCAGTCCCATTGTGCGATCCGGAATGGAGGTGCTGAACAATGCCAACGGTACCGCCCAGCATCCCAAGGAGATGAGCAGCATGGCAGCGGCGGCGGCGGCTGCAGCGGCGGCCTACAAGGCAGCCGGACCATATGGCCTGAATCACCTGTCCGCCCTCTGCTGTCCGCCCGGCATGGAGCAGCATGCGAATCCCGCCTTCCGGCCACCCTTTGCCGGAGGATTCTCCCACCATCACGCCGCCATGCTGGCGGTAGCAGCCAATGGAGTGTATCCGGGTGGAGCTCCGGGCGGAGGACCAGGTGGCCAGCCCAATCCTTATATCAGTTACCAGCGCATCAAGACACCGGCTGGCGGTGAGGCCATAGTGCCCGTGTGCAAGGATCCCTACTGCCAGGGATGCCCTTACTCGGCGCACACGCAACAAATGTTGATGGGCGCACCCTGTCCTGCCGGATGCACCCAGTGTGAGCATCAGAAGTATGGACTGGCCATGGCCAGTGCCGCCGGATTGCCACCAGCTCATCCCTATTCCCAGGCAGCTGCAGCGGCGGCAGCCAATGCCGCGGCAGCCCGTTCCGCCCCCTACGTGTGCAGTTGGGTGGTGGGCGATGCCTATTGCGGCAAGCGGTTCCAGACCTCCGACGAGCTCTTCTCTCACCTGCGCACCCACACCGGCAATCTCTCGGATCCGGCGGCTGCTGCGGCAGCTCTGGCCCAATCACAGGCTCAGTCGCTGCTGGGAACCCTCTTTCCCCCATCCGCCTTGAGGGCTGGCTACCCAACACCACCATTGAGCCCCATGTCCGCGGCAGCGGCAGCGGCGAGGTATCATCCCTATGCCAAACCCCCGCCGGGAGCCATGGCCGGCGGACCTTCGCCCTTCGGCGCCGCTGGAGCCTTCAATCCCGCCGCCGCCGCTGCGGCAGCTGCTCTGGGTCCCTATTACTCGCCATATGCCATGTACGGCCAGCGCATGGGAGCGGCCCATCAGTGAAGTGACTTTCACCTAATGATAGATACCAAAAAAAATGGATTATATTGAAGATAAAACCAGAGATATAGGACGAAAGGGTTGCCCCCCATTTCCAAAAACCCTGTTTGAGATACTTTCATAGAAAACAAAAAAGAAAACACAAAAACAATTGCAAAGGCTGACACATCTCTGGCTTTTGCGCTATTCTGTGATACTAAACTGTAGTTTAAAGAGCGCTAGTTACACTTAAGTTTCGCAAACAGAAAATATTCAACCACCTATAAAAGAAAAACAGTAGCAGCCGCAAAATAGCAGGATCACTTATTCTTCTTCTCCTTTCACCCTAAATGTCTACAGTAATCGAATCGTTAGGTAAAAACTGCAGCAAACAGGAACAGAAAGTCCACTCACTCTCATTTGTTCTCAAAGTTCAACCAAAGTTTTTTAAGTCTTAGCCGGAACACATTCTACAACTTCCAATTTTGTTAACGACGAACCCATTGCTGAGATGTTCAAACATTGTTTTAGTTTTAGTTCGCTTTAAGTTCTATTAACTATTATTACGATTATCTACAAGCATACAACAAACCAACAATTGAAATAATGTTCTTTAAGTCAACTTATATGTAAAGTAAGCATAACGAATAATTGTAATACCAACCAATCAGACAAAAAAAAAAAAGAAAATGACAAAAAAAAACAAAATAAATACGGAAAATAAAAATGAATATTTCATATAATTATGTACTGTGTGTAAATTCTATAAATATAAAATTAGATTTGCTAATTACTCCTTGATGTACGCAAAAGCCACAACACGATCTACACAAGAAGCCACGGAATATCAAACAAAAGTAATTTAAACTACATGCAAACACATTCGTATAAAACTGAGAAATATACAAGAAAAAACAATTTTTAAAAATACAAATCAAAACTCTTTCCTTTCGAGGCAAACTCTTTTACAGCTGGAAATAAGTTCTTTGGGCAATAATCGTTGCTTTGGTTATCTACATCGAATAGTTTGGCTTACCCATGGGTCGTAAATATTGCTGATAGGGCTCTGCTCGGTTTTCAATTATATTTACATAAGCTCGAGTGGCAAATTCCAGAAACCTTATCATGGTCTAATTCACTTTATTTCAAAGCTGTAGTCTGGAAAAAAGTTCTAGGAAATTGCTGTTTTGAGAAATTGTAAAAAATTAAATGTTCAGGAAAATTGGTAGTTATATTACAACCCAGTCAAGAAGGACGCTATAGTTGACCGCCTCGACTATTTGATACAAGTTGCTCAGTAAACGGTTGTGCGAAGGAGATGGAGATATGCATGCAGCAAATCGTCTGTTTCCGAGATTGCACACTTCTTAGTCCTATAACTTTTAAATGCATGGTCCGATTTAAACAATTTTTGGCTGGTGGATGGATATTTATAACCAAACATAAATTCCATTTACACTTACTTTTACTGAACACTTACTTTTTTACAATGTCTTCTGATTCTGTTCAATTTCTACTCGAAGAAATCTTGTTTTACCCATCACAATTAATGCATTTGAAATTCAAATGATTAGTACTATTTATTTGCATTCTCTGTTGCATTTTAAGCGCACTCAATTATTCAGGATTCAGCAATTCCAATTCAGCCAGAAAAATCAAATCAAAATCGAATTTAAAATTCATGAGGGTTGGAGGAGGGAAAAGCTTGATTGGGCAAGCCTTAATAAAACAGTCGCCGGCAATAGCCATAAAACACCCAAGCTGAAAATTAAAAATCAATAAAAATCACATTTGTACAAACAATGTATGAAACCAAAATCAATTGACATTCAATGAGCGACTGAAAAAAGCAATGCATATATGTACGTAAAATATAAACTTGCTGACAAAGCTAAATGACAAACATTGTTCACAAACAATACGCTTCAGAAATACAAAAAAAAAATCTCAAACCAACCAGACAACTCAAACTTAAGCAACAATCAGCCGCAGCAACAATCAAAATCAATGGCGATATTTCGAGTGTATCTCATAAATAAATTAATTGTGACAATATTCAATTTATTTGATTTGAAATTATCGCATTCAGCTGTCAAACGCTCAACGACAGCGTTTTTTCAATTGTTTCAATTTCCAGCTGATTCTCTCAATCGCTGTTTTCATTCCCCCTTCGACCCACTTGAATGTTGTTTCTGATTTGATTTTGATTCGATGCGAACACAAAAATCGCTTGGCCCCAATACGAATGTGGGAATATGTTTTTCCGCAGGGGTGGGGTCGCAAGGGGGTAGACTTATCAATACCCAGCAATCAGTGTTGGCAAATGAAGTGCCGAAGTGCGAGCTGTTGATTTCAGATTGCTGGGGGATTTGTGTTTTTTGGAGCAGCATTTTTATCGCATACAAAGGAAATATATGCAAGCCCCTTTTGTAATGGATTCGATCATATTTTTTCAACAAAATAATAAAGTGGTAAAAGTATTTGTTATTTTAATGATATAAGGACATTAAAAATCAAAATTCGAAACTTTGCCAGTCATTTGCAATCAGTATTTGCTTAAATATAAATATACAATTTATAAATGCATATATTTTGTGATCGTATGTCATCGTTTTATCTAAGAGGAGCATATCCCAAGACTTCAAAGAAATCCTTTTGTTCAGGCATCGAAAGTAACATCAAACAAAATGACTATGACATTCACGTTTTAACTTTTATTGTCTCTAAAACAATTGTAAGTCATAAAGTTTTTTAAAAATAAGGTTCTGTATCAAAAGTAATTGAGTTTCATTTTATTGATCAGTGTTTTTTTTTAAGTTTTTCATTTTTCTATCCAAAAATCTTTAACAGCGGATTATGATTAAATAACTAATCCCTTAAAGCTAAGTAATCTCCAGTTAACCATGAAATGAAAAATCAATCTGTTAGATTAATAATCATTTGAATTCCGTTGAAAGCTACGTTGGTAAAACGCTTTGGTTGTCTGACTAGAGCTCTCGTTGTTTCTGTCGTACTAAATTGAATTTATTTACAGGCATCATATTTCTTTGTTTTGCCAAGCTGTCCATGTCGAACAATTTGTTTTGGGTGTCAACACTCGCCCGGCGCCTCCAAACAGCAGCAACAACAACGAAATCTACATCAAAAGCAGCCACAGCGGCAGAAAACCAAATCCGAAAACCGAATCGGCAACTTTTGGTTAAAAATAGTATGGCTCTGATTAAGTGCCAAGGGGAACGAGGGGGGTACGACTCCAAAGTTTTCTCTTTCGTCTTGGAGCCAAGAGATCGTGCAACGCCCTGAAGTTGGCGGTTCGGCGGGCTCCATTCAACTGGCTCGTTGGTCTAGGGGTATGATTTCCGCTTAGGGTGCGGGAGGTCCCGGGTTCAAATCCCGGACGAGCCCAAGTCAAAGAAATTTTTTGTTTTTTTTTCGCACTGATGGTGTGAGAAAAATGATATAACATTTAAAGATATATCTTTTAAGTTTTCAGTTGAAGATGAGGTGGATCGCTTTTAAAAAAAACCAAAGTACATTAAATGCAACTATGAAAAACTACAAGCTTACATGGTTTTTTTAAGACAAAGATCTATATTTTTGGTACAGAATTCAGAATACATTTCAATAAAAATTCTGTGCTCTGCCGATTTATTGCTGCACTTAGGGCCAGCCATGCAAGCTATCAGAAGTTGAGTCATAATTATTAATACTCTGCAATAATCGAGCTGTTTAAAGTCATAAATATAAAAATATATGGCAAAGCTTATACTTTGGCAAAACTTTTATGGGATCTTGTGACTGTGCAGCTAGCACCTGTCTAAATTTATGGGCTGGTGGAAATTAAGTCTAATCAGTGGTTGTGATTTGTTTTAAGAGGTTTCAAAGTGGCTGGGTACTTTTAGCAGTTGAGAAACTTTGTCAATGAACTATAAGTTTTAAAAAATTATTTTTTTTTAAGTTGTGTCAAAGAATACTATTATAGCAAAGACAATTTTTGGTTATAATAAATTTAGTAACCAATTTCACTCAGTTAGAGTATTTGGAAGTTTTGCTTACCAAAATTAAAAAGATTAAAATCTAAATGTTTTCCTTTGTGATTTTAGTCGGCTCTTTATTTATTGGCACCTTAGAACTGACAAGTTGTCGTATGGTTATTGCCATAAAGTCGTAAAACCAATTTTATAACCCGAGACGTATACAAAGATGTTTAAGATTAAGCGAAAAGCAAGTTTAAAAAATTTATGATCAAAATATAGTAATGGAAAATTAAAAGAACGTTATTGAAGATATGGAATATTTTTGTTTTTTTTTAACTTTCAACAAATATTTTGTATTTGCCTTTTATATTTTTTTTAATAATCAGTATATTTGTCAACATTTCCGCTAAATCTGGCTATTGCCCATAAATAATACACAAATTGTTGACTGAGATTGCGGGAAGATTATTTGTGGCCCTATACAATGTCGACAGCTGTTCAGTGCTGTGATTTCGCTTGGCAGATTGATATAGTATTCCACTGGCAGGTTAAGATTCGGTGAATTATTTAATGATTTATGAAGTGTCGTTTGAGATTAGCCAGTGAACAGGTCCTTGAGGTTAGTGCTCGCGAACTTTGCCATAGTGAATGCTGATTATACCTTATCGTTCATGGCTATTTATAAATCTTTATGAAATCGTTATAGAACTTAATTCCTTGTTTATTTGGAATTGGAATATTAAGATTAAAATATATTTGATTATTATAAATAATTATATTTTATATAATAATTATTGACTCTCCAGATAAAGATCGAGACCAAGGTTCTTAAAATAGGGAAACTTGTTGCCACATTCCATCCCCGAAGAGTTAGGGGACTGGTTCTAATAGGTGGCGAGACCCGTTCGCATGTCGGCCATAAATTAAACAACAACAGCAGCTGACTGATGTCAGTGTTGTCGTCGCAGCTAATTAACAGTTTTGTTATAAATTACACCGAAAGTCATTACAATTTTTCGTATTCTCGGCTCGAGTTGCCGGCCTCTTGGGGCGACACACCCATTTGGGGCGTCAATCATGCGTAAAGTGACACAGATGTGACATCCAGCGGGGGCCCACTGTTCGTAAGTGACTAGCGGATACATTTGTATCTTTAAGTCTGTGTGCCCACTGTCAACTGTCAACTCCTTAATAATTTTCCGTAGTCTTATTTCGTTTTTGTACATTTTTTTTTCTGTGAAATTCACGCCCCCGCTGCGAGTCGGTCCATAGTATCCCTCCTCTCCGAATATCCCATGCTGTCTTGTGACATTGTTGCTGCTGTTAGGCTGCTTTGTTTTAATATTTATGGCTTCCTCGTGTCATTTTCATAATGTTGCGTTTGACACTTTCCCTCTGGGCTCCACAAACACAACTCACACATCCCCTTCACATTCCATATTATCTTACATTATATGGGCGGTGGCCCGGGATCGCCCATCTTTTTCATTTGGCATCTCTGTTCTTTCTTTTTGTGATTTTGTGTAAAATGTTTTTGAAAATGACATTTGTTGCTGACACGGCGACAACTGTCAACGGGCACTCGGTAGGCATTTATATAGGATTTGTTTTAGGCGGGGTAAACAAGAAGACATAGTAAGGTGGCGGATATAGAATGGAGATTGTCAAGATGTTGGGTTATAATTAATTTAAAGGAATGTTTAATTCA